TGAAAACGCTCAGTAGAGCTTGGGGTGGGGTATATCCCGGTTTGGCAAACATCGAATCTGCTGGAGTGCATCTGCTAGGGCAGCTAATGGACCAGGGCATTCCAACGGCAAACAACAGGTGGGAAGCTCGAAGTTCTGTCCACGGATCTCCTTCAAAGATCCGCCCAAGACTCGAATAGTCAGCTTCTGAAGCTCTTAAACCCATGCTCAACCATCACAGCAAGATTCCTCAAAGTCCTTTTTTGAGCTTGCTCGCAGACGCCATCGTGCTCCCCGTTGACCTCTTCTTCGAGCGTGGCTCGCATGAGTTGCTTACACAGCGATCTTCCATCGCAGCGATCTTGTTGATGCAGCCCATTTTACAAGAACCTTGCTCTCGGCAGCCGAAGAATGAAAGTTATTGTACCGCACGTCGTAGAATCTCCCAAATCTTTCGACAAGCCAGAGATGGCCCAACGTGCCCAAGGCTACTACCAGTCGACTGTGGGCCCAACAACGTCTCTGGTGAGTTCCTCGCTGAAAGCCGCCACTTCGGTCGTGAGGGTCGTGGATGTTTTCGAGCGATCGGCGCGGTCGAAAAGAGTCCTTGCAACCTTCACAGCTATGACATAGTTGCGGAGACCTTGCCCAAAGAGCCTAATATTGCTTAACTAAGAATATTCCTTAAAACATATAGGGATCCTGAATATGATTTAAGGTATATTCCTTAATTAAGGAATATTCGGCTCTTTGGGTCATTGGGGACGCTTAATGTAGCTCCAATCAAACTGAGACCAAAGCAGCGACTACAGTAGTTGGTGATGCAAAACACTTGCGCGAGTTTCGTTTTGCCAGCCTTTTGCGTTGCATGGTTTTGCGTATGTTTGCATTTTGCATTGATTGTTCGGCTTTCCTGAGTGCGCGGGGTCTGCTTAGAACGGTGTATCCGCAAGACAATCTGGACAAATTCCGGCGACGGAGGCGACACAAAATCTGTAAGTCATGAGTGCGTGTGGGGCACTTATGCTTCTGGATCCTTGAATTCCTGGATCACATGGGCTTCTTCGAGGTGGTGTGCGAGGGTGGGCTTCGCGACCTCTTGTTTTTAGCAAGAAATATCCGAGATCGCTGAATAAGGGCCAAGGGGGGGGTTTCAGAAACGGTGTTCCGGTTTTGATGGAGGAGAAACATGACAGGTTCCCGTCGCCGGGCTTGCTGCACTTACCTCGCGCGGGAAAAAGGCCGCGGCCGCTACGCTGCGCTGGTTTCCTGCGAAATCCGACGGTCGGAGCTCAGCTTCGAACCACCGCCTGCTGAGAGGTCTGGCTGTTGGGGGAAAGACTCCCACAAGGCAACAAGCAGGGTGCCGTCTCTGAGCACTGTGCGACGTCTTTTGCTGTCAGTTTATGCCGCGAGCAGAACAGACAAGAAATGGTTATATTGTAACGAAGATCAGGCGGCACGGTTTCGAGAACATGTGATGTTCATGAATTTCGCTGCGAGCGCCGAGAGCATCCCCTTTTTGGGTGAAAGCGCCATCGTCGTTAAAATTGTGTGGTCTGCGACGCGGACAAAGACACGCAGCTCTCGACGGTCCTTACATTGAGGCTTGTCGTGGATGGCGATCTTGTTACGTGTGATTTTACCATTTGACCCGACAGCGTGGTCGCCAAAGCACAAGTGGCCTTTTCACAAGCGCGACATTTCAGGTGAGCCGCGAGCCGTGCACAAGAATGCAACGTTTTGTTGTTGTGGCATGCTTGGGGAACTCCGGCGTGGCCACGCATGCACCGCGTACGCAGCGGCGAAACGGATCGCCGGGAAACCTCCTTTGTGGCGGAGGCGGCGAACTGCGACAACAGGCGCTCGCAGAAATGCAGTTTGCGAACATCCCGCCGTTTTGTCTTATGACGCCGATGCTGCCTCCGACGAGGCCAGCGACACGGCCAGCGACACTACAGCCGCTAGCGCGCCGCATGCGATGCCCGTCCACACGCGCGAACGGCTGCCGCGCTCCACCCGGCAGTTTTGGCGAGCGAGGCATGACCCGTCCCAGACACGGAGCGAGCACATGCGGTTTCCGCGGAGTGTGGTCGCTCAGGCCGAGCGACAGTCGTCGACCCCACCAAGTGATGTTGAACCAACTTTACTCGATGAGGTCGCTCTAGACTACACGCTTGCATGAGCGCCGTCGGAAGCCGTGGAAGCGATGGGGCCCCAACCGGGCGAGCGGAGCTCCTGGCTGTATGCGGTGCTAAAAATAATGCACGTCAACATGGTGGCGTCAAGAAGTGTCCCGTCGCAACCTCCACAGCCATGGGGCCCATCGTGAGAAAAAAGGTTGGTCTTTTGGCTGGCGTGCCCTTATTGGAGAGTCTTGGACGCCAACCATATCAGCGTCCCAGGTCTGCAACAGGTCAACCAAGCCATGAGAAGCAAAGTCTACGGAACCATCTGCCACCGCGCTTGCGACGACGAGAACCGAGACGGTTTCCCGAGTGGTCAGCACTTAGACTTGCAACTGACAAAGTGATTGAAAGATTCCTGGATTGCGCAGGCAAACGCGCAACAGCAGCAGGGTGGCCCGCACACATGTGAGACAAACAGCGCTGCCGCGGTCCGGAGCCAGCATCTGAATTCGACTGAGGGGCTGGCTTGCAGCAGTTGCGACCAGAACAGCATGGAGGTGTGCGTGGGAAAGCCATGTGAGGCATACACCGTCCACAGGAGCCTGACAACCACGACGACAGCACCTCCGGACACGCCAAGGATCATGCCATGGAGACGGGCCATGGCATCGTGTATTGTTGCAATGTTCCTAACCGTAATTTGTAATACAGTCCGGCATCCCATTTGCTAGAGCTGAAACGTTGGCTTTTTCAGTAGGCATGTTGCAAGGGCATCACTGGCTTGACTGATGACGGGCGCACCGTGCCGCACGGCACACATGGGCAACAGAGTTGCGACATGTGGCGCGTGGACATACGCGCACTTCAGGCATCGACTCAAGGTACTGTGACTTTCAACGCCTACATACAACATCTTTCACCGTTGCATGAGAATCATGAACTCGGCGAAAACAGACTGCATCCAACGGTCACCATCCATACGAGCAGATTTCTGGGCCACACGAATGAATCCTATGCGGAGCTCCAAGTGTTGCGAGCGGGCCCGAGGTTCTGGAGACAGAAGGACACGAGCGACACAAGCATAAACCGACATATGCCAGCAAAGTATAGCAAAGTGCTGCTTGACCCAACGACATGCGGGAACTTTCGTTAATGGCGTGTCTTGCAACTTGCCCAGAATCTGTCAAACGAGCTGTTGACCATGTTTCGCACCCCACAAAAACAATGTGCTGTCTGACACGCTCGTTCCAGTGACGACGTATTAGTGACGCCGTGGATCCCCCCATGAAGCCTGCGCACGGGCACCCACGATTTGGTGAACCAATCGTCGAAAGCACATATCCATTTTCTACCAGATCCTTTGACCGGACACTGCGATGCCCTGCTGCCAACGTGCTATTGGTGTAATCACAAGCATCGTGTCGCGGCGACGCGCTGCAAGTCGCGCACCGTGCCGCTACTCCTCACGGACGAGTTCGCGATCGCACGCTGCCCTGCCACCGTATTGGCGGGGTGCGATGAGCCTCGCGGGCCACATCCCGAGCGCAAGTCAGGACACGTGAGTCGGAGTTAGCAAAACGTGTTGGTGTCTCTCCGGAGAAATGGCTTGCATGCGTTGCCGCAACGTGCTGCCATCTGCTTGGGCCACCCCCGTGTTGTCGCCAGGCATCGCCAGGCCAGTGACGCCCGTGTTTTGGAAAGCGGAGCCACTTGCTCCTTGCGTGCGCGTTGCCTCTGCAGCTGGCACCGCCTGACCCAACTGGATGGGAAGGTGAAGCGGGACGGCCTGCGACCTGCGACCTGCCTGAGCCTGGCGAGCGGTGCCAGGGCTGGCAGCATCAAGATGTCTCACGTTTGTTTACCCATTTTTCGCGAAACCGAGTTGCTGCCTGTGGTCACACCGCCAGCGCAGGCGCTGCTGCGTTCGCAGTCCGGAACACACGCTGCTGCATGGCTCGGCGCCGTCCCCAGCGAGGCCGGGACAACCCTCGCGCTTGACCACATGCTCATCGCCTTGCAGCGGCCTAGATGCCGGGCGCATGGTCATGGTTGCGGCGCCGCAGTCGATGTATACGGCGACTACTATGCAGCTAGCCGAAAAGGTGTGCTCGCCCGGTGATTCCGCAACAATGGTTGGCTCGAACGCCTGCCCATGGTCTCGACCCGGACGATCGCCGGCACTTCGACTCCGTGGCCTGCGGCGCCACCCAGCTTGGCGAGGTGCTGCGATATGACAGTGGTCTTGGCGCTGACGCGCGAAGGGCGCCGACAGCCCTCCTCGCCGAATGCCGCAAGCGCGGTGCCAAACCTGCGCTGGAATGGCGAGCGCCTTCGACTCGTAGCACGGCTCCGCTTGCGTGGGGTGCGCGGCCCTGCTCCGCTTCGGGGCGCCGCTTTTGCGCGTTCACAGGCTGGGCCCCATGCCGGCGCGTGGCTCACGGCCATTCCACGCGACCCACACGTGCGCCAGTCTCGCGACACGCCCTTCGCTCAAGAGGGTTGGCGCGCGAGATCGTGCGAGGCAAGACGCCTGCAGTGGCACACGCCGCTTGGTGGTCACCTAGCACATCAAGCGGCCGTGCAGGTCCACGGTGCAAGCGGGAGCGGCAGCCGCAACCGGCGAAGGAGGAGGACACGGAAATGCGCTCTGTGGAGCGTGACATCCTCATATATCCTCATGGGTGGGTAAAACCTAGTGAGCACGCGAAAAGAGTGCGGCCTGGTCTGTGGTCACGTGAAGCAGCGGGCGCCAGTTCAACAAACATTGCACGTGATTTGTGCTCTGGCGCCTCTACGAGTGGTGTTGTTAAAACGTATCCATTCCATGAAGCATTATTCGCGTCAACACGCCCGCACCCACTGTGCCTTCTTGGATAGGCTTTGTGTGGCGCGATGGTGCCATGTGGCATCTCCACCATGCCGGGGCATAGGCCCCGACCGGATTTCTGCGGATGGAAAAGAGGCGAGGAAAAAAACTCTACGGCACGTGCCTTGCGTTTCAACTTTGCAGTGGGCCCTCAAAAAACGGCCATCGTGTGCTTCGGCCCAGGCCGCGCCCGATCGCATGCTTTTTTGTTCAGAGCCCTTTTACTACGGCAGGTGGCGCAGCGGCAGGCGGCTCGGCCCCTCGGCCTCTGCGAGGTCGAGAACGCGGTCGAGCGGCGGACCCGCAACGCTGGTGGCCTGCGGCGGTTGGGGCCATGGCTGCCCGAGGGCAGTGCTGGCAACTGCCTGCTGCGCTGCGACAGACAGCATGCCCCACCAGCGACGCGTCCAGCTGCAAGACGCGGTGGCGCGCAGGGCTGGCGGCGCTTTGTAGGACCGCAGTCGGACCAGGTCTCGCACCAGTTGTTGCGCGTCGCCGTTGAAGCGCCCTCCGACCTTGCTGCCAAGCACCAGGAGCTTCTGCTTCCCTTGGCGCCGGAGCTCCGGGTAGTGGCCGCATTGCGTCGCTCCGCTGCCCGCAGGGCGGCGCCGTCGACATCGGCCGTGCATGGCTGCGGTTGCCCCGTGCGTGTAAGTGGTGAAACCAGCGTCGCATCGCAACACAGCGTGGATCCGTTAGGCGTCGCCCCGTAGATGACCACGTCCAGGCGGCGTCTGTCCTCCGCGTGCACTCCGGGCGCCGTGGTGTGCACGAGCCATTGTTGTGGCACCACCTGCCTTTCGGCACCACCGGCTTCGCGCCCTATGCTCGCTCGACGACCTTGGCGCGTCGGGCGAGCAGGCCGGTTCGCGGGCAAGCGAGCGCGTGGTCGCCGAGGCGGTCTACTCCGTGGGAGGGGGGGAGTGGCATGCGCAGGCGGCGGCGGCGGCGCGCGAGTTGCATGGCCTGGGGCGCGAGCGTCGTGGCGGGCTCTGCTGGAATGGCAGTGAGCCAGGACGCTGCACGAGGCCCCGATTGGGACCGCACCAGAAACCCGGGCATCCGGCGGCATAGCCGGCAGCATCACACTGTCGCGCAAATGGGCCACGCTCCGAGCACTCACCGACCCTTCCAGACGGCCGCCGCAGCCGCTGCGACCGGTCCCGCAGCACGTGATGAACCATCACCCTGCAGAGGAGGTCGCGCTCTCCAAGCAACAAGTCGCCGACGCGCTTCGCACCTCCAAGCGCGGGTCAGCTGCTGGCCTGTCGGGCGCCACTGTCGAGTTCTACAAGTTGCTCCTCGACGATGAGGGTGCCTTAGAAGCCTTCACATTCGTGGTGAATGTCGCAGCTCGCGCGCAGGCTCCACCGGTTGCGTTGGACGCCCTGGCCTTATCGGGCCTCACCGCCCTTCGCAAGCCACAGGGAGGGGTCAGAGGCATTGCGGGCCCACGATGACGCGATATGGGACGTCGTCACGCGCCTTCTCGGTGGGGAAAGCCCGGGTGAGGAGGCTGCGTGGACTGCAGCGCGCCTCGGCGCCTTCCTGCCGCCCAGCTTGGGGGGCCTGGGCTTGTTGGCTGCAGAGCGGGTTGCGCCGGCTGCATACTGGGCGGCTTGGGCAGATGCCCTCCCAGTTTTGCGCCAACGCTTCCCCGACGTCGCCCAGCAATTCGTGCGCGCGCTCGAAGGCGCTGCAGTCGCCGCACCGCCCTGCGTGCGGGCAGCGGCGGCGGCTACGGAGCGCTTAGACGCGGCTGGTTGGGATGAACGGCCTCACTGGGCGGCATGTGCCGACGGGGCCCAGGTCCCGGCTACAGACGGTGAGCTCGGGCTCGGTGGCCCTGGCTGGCAGCGACGCGCTGTTCTCGCACTCCACACGTCTTTCCGAGAACGCGAGCTGCTCCCGGCCATGGCGCCCGATGCGCGAGCCCTCTTTCGCTCTCAGTCTGGGCAACATGCGGGCATGTGGCTCGCCGCTATACCGGCTGACGCAGCTGCGACCCTGGCCCCAGACTTGATGCACATTGCCCTCAGGCGACGCCTCCGCCTGCCGCTACCATTGACCGCCCTGCATTGTGGAGGCGACGGAGCTCCCGGCTGCCATGGACAGGCCGATGTGTTAGGTGACCACTTCGTCGCCTGCCCGCGTACTGGCTTGCTGCCGCCGAGGCTTTGTCCTTGAGCGCGCGTGGGTGCAGGTCGCGCGCAAGGCGGTCGGGGCGGAGGGCCGAGTAGTGCCACAGCAGTGGCTGGCCCGGACCACGGCGCCTGGCGTTGCGCCTGCGGACCGCCGCCGCTTGGACTTGGTGGTGTACGGGGCCACGCCGGGCGGTGAGGCACTCTGTTGTGACGCGACGCTTGTCTCGCCCCTGACGCGAGCGGGTCGCCCAGTCCCAGGTGCCGACCTGCGAGACGGGGCCGTGTTGGCGGCCGCGCGCCGCCGCAAGCACGCGCGATATCCCGAGCTCCTGCGGGGAGGTCCGCAACGGCTCGTGGTGCTCGCGGCGGAGGTGGGCGGCAGGTGGGGCGAGGAGTGCCAGCGCTTCGTTCGCCAGCTCCTGCGTCTCCGCGTTCAGAGGGCCCCTGCAACCCTGCGTGCCACGGCGGCCCAGGGGTGGGCAAGGCGATGGTGGGGCCTGCTCTCGGTCGCCGTGCAGAGGGCAGTTGCCAGCACGGCCCTGGGTGTCTGGACGATGCCGGCGCTGCCGAGCTCGCCGGACGGGGTCCCCCTCGCTGATGTCCTTGAGCTCGCCGATTTCGCGGGGCCCAGCCGCCTGCCGCTTCGGTGAGACGTGTGTACATAGGGGGGGTGTGGGGACCTGGATCACGACCGCCGCGAGAGGAGGAAAAAAAAAAGGTTGGTTGCGAGTGCGCGACGCATGAAACTGCCAGCCATGTGGCCAGTCTCCCGGGCCTGTGTGTTCCGGAGGAGCCGGGCGGGCTCCTTGGAGGATCTCTCGCCAAAGCTCACAGGCCTCGGCAGCGGCGCGCATTGTCACTGCCATGCCCCAGTGCATCCCGACAGCGCTCGGCAAACTCAGGCAGCCGGGCGTGGATCACCGGCACAGCATCTGCCGTGCCCGCCCAATGCTGCGGGGCTCGTGCGCTCCGCCGATTGCAGTCCCACTGGCAACATCGCCAAATCTCGCGCAGGCGGAGCTTCTGGCTCATCCGCACCCCCAAGGCATTGCTTGAGGGTCTGCCAGACGACTCGATCATGGGCGCGGGCGTAGGCAAGGATCGTGGTTGGCACGGACGGGGGGCGCCGCCCCGGAGGTCGACGTTGATGGGGCCGCAGCCCCGACCCCTGCTGGCGACGTTACGCCTGGCTTCTTGCCGGCGGCCCCACCAAAGCAGCATGATGACGTTCAGGCAACTGTCGGCATGCCTTCCAGCCCCGCGTGGCAGGCTGCGGGACCGCCTCGCCGAGCGCCACCGGGGGAGCGGCAGTCCTGGCTGTACGTACCGCTGCTCCACGAGGCCGCAGGTTTCCTGACCGCAGATGCCTCGGTGGAGGAGGCATGAGCAGGCGGGCCCTCGCTGGACTGAGCTGGTGGCGACACTCCAGCACGCTCAGCCAGCCAGTCCGCGCGCGTTGGCGCGGTTGCTCCACGCCATAGCCGACCTTGACGCGGCGGAAGCAGGTGCGCAGGTGTCCAGCCGCGACGCGTCGCTCGCCTCGGCCCTCCTTTCCTTGCCGGACGCGCCCCTCCCTCTGGCCGCCGCACTGGTCCTTTGCGCGGATGCTGACGGGTACGTGCCGGCAGCCGCGCAGGCGACGCTGTTGGAAGGGTACGGAGGGGTCGTGGCCGCGGCGGGTGCCCAGGCCCTGGCCGCGGACATGCGGGCGGTGTGGGAAACAGAACGGCCGCCCGAGTGTCCGCCGCTGCCAGGACCACAGCGTAGAAGCAGGGGACGGAGGCGGGCCAGACAACACCAGCGCCGGCGTTCTCCGGAAGGGGTCGCAAAGTTGCCCCAGCCCGAAACGTGTGCTCGGAGCGTAGACGGCGGAGCCGGCGCCCCCACCAGCGCCGCACGGCCTGCCGCGGGAGTCCCCGTTGCAGCGTGGGAGCAGCTGGACGCCGTCGACTTGCAAGAGGAGTTGCGCCACCCAGTCCCGACGCTGCAGGACGTGCCCCCGTTTATGCGCTCGTCGGTTCGCGGGGCTTTGGTCCTCGCTTTGAACCATTTGCGATCCGCTGGGGATGAAGATGGGGCGACCCTCCGAGCATGGAAACTTTTTCTCCTGGCGCCACGCATGCTCCTGGCCCGACCAGCCATCAAGCGCGGCCCGGGCGGCCGCGAAGAGCTCCTCAGTCGCGCAGCGGCATTCCAGCAGGGCGAGTGGATCCGCTTGCTGCGCGAGGCGCGCCAGCTGCCCGGAGCAGAGGACGCGGCTCCGGAGCCCAACGCGAGGCAAGTCCTCACAGCTCCAGCTTTGGCCCCGGGAACAGAACAAACGTATGCGGCCCTCACGGACCCAGCGCGCAGGCCTGCCGTCCCACGCCAGCCCATCCCGCCGGACACCCTCGCACACGAGCCAGCCGAGCCCGTGACCCTGACGCCAAAAGCTGTGGCGTCCGCGCTGCGAGATGCGCGCCGCGGGGCGCACGAGGCCTGCGGGCTGAGCACCTTAAGCTGCTGTTGCAGGATATCCCCGCGCAGGAGCTCCTGGCCCACGCCGCCACGCAATTGGCCCGGGCCCGTGTGCCCGCCGAAGTGGCCGCCGCCGTTGCCATGGCCCGATTGACGGCTCTCCAAAAGCCTGACGGCGGGATCCGCGGCTATGCCGGCGACGCATTCCGCCGCCTCGTCGCGCGAGCTCTCGCAAAGCAGTGGGGAACCGCTCTCGACCACGCCACGCGACCGTACCAGTACGCACTCCAAAGCCATGATCGTGTCATTCAGAGGTTTCAAAACCAATCAGAGGTTTCACAACCAAACACATGCATGTAAAATAAGCCAAAAAAACCTGTATATAGCATGCATTATGTCAGGATGACTGCTTGATGAGTTGAAAAAATGGCTGAAAAAATGGTTCTAAAACATGGGCTCTCAAAAAAATGCTTTTTAAAACTTAAATAAAAAACATTGTCAAAACGGCCCCAAAAAAATTGACTCTAAGCTGCACAGCTCAATGTTCCAGCACAGTGCTTATATAGTTGTGCCTTCAAAGCCTCAGTAATCCAGCAGGGATGGGTCGGGAGGGTTTGTGAGATGGAGCAGAAAGGGGGGGGGGGGGCAGGGCGGCATAAAAATCTTGCCACCAAGGATGTCAGAGCCTCAGTCGCAGCATCAACGCTCCTTCAGGAAGAGCAATTGGGCCCTCAGGTTTTTGCAGGGTTTCGGGTTTAGTTGGTGTTTAGGGTTTGCTGCCAACCCTTAGATCCGAAGCCAAAACCCTAAACACCTAAACAACAAACCCTGAACCCTAACCCAAGGAGCAAGTCGGCACTGTGCTGAAAGGCGCTGCCTCCAAAAGGTTTGTGCCGAAAGGCGCAGCCTTGAATCCGAAACCCAAAACCCTAAACAACAAACCCTGGACCCTAACCCAAGGAGCAGGGGTGCAGCTCAAAATCGAAAGGCGCTGCCTGAGCAGAGCAAGACCCAATTTGTCATTCCAGGCTCAAGGGGGGCACAGGGGCGATCATGCTGTCAAACCAAACTGTAAACTGTCAACCCCAGCCCCCCCCCCACCCCCCCTCTCCTTGCATTCTGGGCAAGTTGCGACGACCCAGATTTGTTCTTCTTCAGCAGTCCTGCCCTCGGCAAGGGTTTTCCTAGTGGTTTGCTTGAACAGGTGGATACTGGTAAGTTCTTCTGGGCATGAGCAGACACTGTTGATCCTGTGGTGAAGCCATGTGAATGTTGACTTTTTGCTTTGTCCTGTTTGTCGCTGTAAGGCATGTTGCTTCACTTCGAGAACTCCACACCAACAACACTGTGCGGCACTAAGCTGACAGTAGTGCAGAAATGCATTTCAGAGCTGTTCTTGCGGTTTGTGTGTGTGTGTGGGGGGGGGTTTGTTGTCAGCGCACAAGTGCCACTCTGCCAGCAGTCATGAAACGAATCAGAATGTGACCCTCTGAAACCGTTGAGGCTCAAGTGCAGGGCTCATACAGTCGGTCACCGAAACACGAGCAGTATAGGTGCGATAGAGAAATCTTAAAGGACAGGAATTCCACTGAAAGGCTTCTATGCACAGGTGCGTCCAAAAAAACTGACACACTCGGTCACCAAACATGAGCAGTACAGGCGCAATAGAGAAATCTTGAAGGACAGGAATTCCACTGGCTCAATGGGGAAAAAAGAGCAGAACCTGAGAAAGAAGAACACTCCCAGTGGCCGGGAGCGCAAAGACTTGCGATTGCAGTGCAACGACTTGAAGCAGAAGCTTAAAGACCTGCAGGCCCGGCATGTCCATTCATGGGAGTTGTTTTTTGTTGACCCTACTTGCCCGGACCCTGCTGTTGCCCAGAGGAGAAGTTTGACAAGCTGCAGCAGGAGCATAACCTCGGTCTCGAGGCCAATCTAGCTCTGGTGCAGGAGAGAGACCTTCTCTTGAAAGAGAACAAGGCCAGGTCGGGAAGCAAAAACATGCAAACACTTGCAATTTGCAATCTTGAAACATCCCTCAAGCTGTTGCCCAGAGGAGAAGGTTGACAACCTGCAGCAGCAGAAGGATGACCTCGAGCAGCAGCATGACCTTCTCTTGAAAGAGAGCAAGGCCAGGTCGGGAAGCAAAAACATGCAAACTCTTGCAATTTGCAATCTTAAAACATCCCTCAATCTGTTGCCAACCTGCAGCAGCAGCAGCATGACCTCGAGCAGCAGCATGGCTTCGCCCTCCAGGTCAACCTAGCTTTCCTGCAGGAGAGAGACCTTCTCTTGAAAGAGAACGAGGCCAGGTCGGGAAGCAAAAACATGCAAACACTTGCAACTTGCAGTCTTAAAGCATCCCTCAAGGAGCTAAAGTCGTTCCAGCAAGCGCTGCTGAAAGCTCACAAGGAACGTATCCTTGAACTCCGGAGCCAGAAGAAAGACGAAGTCGCAAAGCTAGAGGTTGACCTCCGGATCCAGAAGGCAGACGAAATCACAAAGGCCGACCAAACCGGGTTTGGGGTTGAGGGGTGCATGTTTGTCTTTAGGGTTTAGGGTTGGGGGTAAATGTTGAGTTGTTCCAGGCAAAAGAAGCTATCTTCGCGATGAGACTGGAAGAGTTACAAGCTGCCGCCTTGCAAGCTGCCGCCTCGTCTGCTGCAGAGTCGCAATCGCCCACCACGGTTGTAACACCCGACAAGGAGCCCGAGGATTCAGATTGAGTGGCTTGGGATGCACTCGGACTCCATACCCTTACTTTGCTAAACCTCTAAACCCACTGAAGCGCCGTTGATCTCCCAGGAACACCAGGATGATGTGGGATGATTGTGGCTACTTGTGCGGTCTTGGAATACTTACCAGTGATCTTCTTGGAGTTCTTGTGTTCCAGAGCTTTGTGAGTCGGCCCATCGTTGCGTCGATCATGTTTGGAAGGCAGTGCGACCTTCACTGTTTCACCAAATGCTCGCAAGCACAAGTGATAGCAAAGAAGCTTTGCTTTCTGACTGTGAGCTGGCTGACTCTGATCTTGATGTTTGTTGTCAGCGCACAAGTGCCACTCTGCCAGTGACCCTCTGAAACCGTTGAGGCTCGAGTGCAGGGCTCATACAGTGGGTCACCGAAACACAAGCAGTATAGGTGCAATAGAGAAATCTTAAAGGAGAGGAATTCCACTGAAGGGCTTCTATGTACAGGTGCAGCCAAAAAAACTGACACACTAGGTCACCGAAACACGAGCTGCCATGGACCCGCGGTCTGCTCTGAAGTCAAAAGCAAAGCCGACGGAGCCACCTGCACCTTGGCTGGATGCGCAGCGGACCTCAGAGCAGCAGCCGGCTCAGATGCTTCAGACTGCTCTGCAGACGAAAGCACAGCCGACGGAGCCACCTGCACGGCTGGATGCGCAGCGGACCTCAAAGCAGCCGGCTGAGCAGGAGCAGGGTGAGGTGGAGCTTCAGGGTGAGGTGGAGCTTCAGGGTGAGGTGGAGCAGGGTGAGGTCAAGCAGGGTGACGTGGAGCAGGGTGACGTGGAGCAGGGTGAGGTGGAGCAGGGTGAGGCGGAGCCCCGGACATGTTTTGGATTTTTCGTTTGATGGTTTTCATGTGTTGTGCAAGTCCAGTCAGGCACTTAATCCAAGTCTAAACTTAGGTGACTGCAGAGCACATCCGCTCCAAGTGGAACCAGTTCGTGGATGAGCTCCCCACTTGGTGGAGCCACCTGAAGGTCAAGGGCTCCGGATCCGTTTCAAGCTCCTTTGACCGACTGCACAGCTGACAATTGCAACACCCTGGCAAAAGAAGATTCGCTGTTCTAGAGGTCTGCAGAGAATCCAAAGACCGAAGCCCTGGTGTGTCACAAAAAGCTGAGGTCGGTTGCCTGGGCCGATGGTTCGCCTTCGAGGCCTGTTGCCAGGGTCACAGCTTCCACAACGAAGTCCCACAATAACAAAACCATCTGCTGAAGCCCAGCTGTCGACTGAGTTTACACTTCACAGTCACATCATCTGTGCAGCTGCCCTTGTGTGTGTGTGTGTGTGTGCTTGTGTTGCATCGAAGTGTTTTTGGGTTTTGTGCTTTGGGAGAGGTACAGGAGAGGTCAGGTACTACGGGAGAAGGTGAAGGGGGAGAGTGCTGCGGCTGTGTGTTTGCAGGAATATACATAGCGCAACCGGTTGCGCTTTGGGAGTGCTTGCAGGTTGCAAGCACCTGGAAGACACTTACGGCTGTGTGCTTGCAGGAATATACATAGCGCAACCGGTTGCGCTTTGTGAGTGCTAGCAGGTTGCAAGCACCTGGAAGACACTTACGGCTGTGTGCTCAGGAATATACATAGCGCAACCGGTTGCGCTTTGTGAGTGCTTGCAGGTTGCAGGTAAAGGGGGAGAGTGTAGCGGGGAGGGCTCCGCCAACAAGCAAACAAATAGCCTCCAAACCCTAGACCCTAAACCTCAACCACCAGTACAGTACATGTTCTGTCGAAAGAACCTTGCAAGCAAGCAGACTCTGCCCCTTTTTTTTCCCTCGCAAGCGAGTTGGACTTCTGAATCTTTGTGTGTGCATCAGTACACAAATTTCAGCCATGAAACTCATGGTATTCAAAGCAAGTCGAGGCTTGCAGTATCGATTCCGGGGTAAGAGCTTAAGGTTTGAGGAAATCTGCCACAGTGGTTTGATTCAGGAATAAACTGCAACCCTCGCACTCACACGCCCCGGGCAGCAAGCATATCATTAAAGACAGTGACATGCTCCCAAGTCCATGTCGGCTGGCAGGCGAACATGTCCTGGGCCATTGGCATAGACAGCTCAAGGAACTTCTTCAAAGCCAACACCCAGCGGCGCAAATGGTAGAAAACCTTTCGGCTGCGACGACACTCGGATCCCATCGTAGACGAACATCAGGAATCCTTCTGTAAAATCGCCCGCATTCTTGTCGTCGCTACGACCATACATCTCACGTGGAAGGAGGACCACCATGCCGAAGTACCAGAACCAGTTTCCTGGAGAGAAACGGTTTCCAGCCTCAGGGTTCTCACGGTGGAATTCCATCCACCGATGGTGCCAATGCTTGATCGGCGTTCCCAGTGTCCAGCTGGCTCGGTACCTCTCCATGAGCAACTCCAGGAAACTTTGCTCCTCAAACAGCGTTGTGTAAAGCTGAACCAGCAACTGGTGCAGCTCCTCTCTTGCTGATGGCAGCTCGTTAAGTTCCACCAGAGGCTGCTGAGCATTTCCGGCCACGGCCATTGGCAAGTTGGGACAGTCAGACAAACAAGGACTGCAGTGGGGCCAAAATTGCTGAAGAAAACACAATGTCTAATATCCAGTGTAACAAGAATGCTCTTGTAAACTGTGTGGAACTAAAAGTCCAAAGCCCTAAGACGGCCCGCCTTCATTTCTTTCCAGAAGCAGCCCCTTTAGTGCATCCATGTCGAGTAGTAGGTGCATATTTCAGCACAAAGCACTCCTTTAACTTCAGCACTAAGCCTTAGTCACTAAGCACTCCTTCAAGCCACCCTCTACCCCCTGTCTCGGACCTCCAAATGTGCCAGTGCTCCACTGTTTCCAGGCATACCAGCGCACCATCATCATGTCCAGGGCCTAGCAGGCTTTGCAAGTCCAGGGTTTAGGGTTTAGGAGTTAGGTTTAACTCTTATTCAACTCTCCTAATCAACCTTCCTAGAGCCTTAACACTTTGAACCTTCCTAAAGGTTTAGGGCTTGGGCTCGGGCATCGGTTTGGGTATCCAAGCCTGGGCATCGATTTGTTTCGGGTTTCGTGGGTATCGGGTTTTGTGGGTTTGGGGTTTGGGTATCGGTTTGGGTATCGAAGCCTGCAGTTGTTTGTTTCGAGTTTCGTGGGTATCGGGTTTTGTGGGTTTGGGGTTTGGCCTTCTCAGGCTGCGCCGCGAGGCGCAATGCCTGGTTTCCTGGGTATCGGGTTTAGTGGGTTTGGGGTTTGGGCTTCTGAGGCTGCGCCGCGAGGCGCAAAGCCTGCAGTTTGTTTGGAGGGTTGTGGGTTTGGGGTTTAGTGTTGGGGGTACCCAAACGAGTCTCAGTCCGTACCCTACACTTCTGCGAGCAGCACACTTGGCCCCAGCTTTATGTAGTCGTGCCTAGTTCATGGTTTGCGTTCACGCTCTAGAGTTTAAGTTGTACGGTTCGGTGCAGTATGTTCAGCAGCCACAAGGAGTAGGCCGCCACAGTGCCGAAAGGCGCAGGGGCGATCGTACAAGAAATTGCAAACCCAGGGTGCAGTGTAGAAACCAGTTTGTGCATTCCATAGGATTTAAGGCTTAGGTGTAGTCAGTGTAGTCTTGCAGCAAAGCCCTGTGCCACCTCACCTCAGGCAAGACTGCAACCGTGATGAGCATACTGTTGCAGGAAGCTAATAATTACATAGGCTGTTCTTAACATAGCCCCCCCCCCCAGCCAACCACTACAGCCACTAGCTCGCAATGTCGGGCCCATGGAATCCAGGTTGGAGTCAACACTGGAACCAACACTGGAATCAAGATTGCAGACAAGGTTGGAGTCAAGAGTCGACAGAGCCGGCTTCATCCCACAATGAGCCTCAGCTCACCCGCAGGCAAAGGGAGAACAAGCGAAAAAAGGAGACTCCATCCAACGAGGAAAGAAGGGACTTGCGGTGGGCCGTCAGCAAAAAGCTGACTGCCACCCAGGAGGAAACACTTTCGCTGCAAGACCAGCTGGCTGAAGTCACCCAGCAAGGGGATGCGCTGCAAACCCAGCTGGATGCAACTGCCGAGGAGAGAGACACACTGCAGAAGCAGTGCTCGGATCTGCAGGCCCAGGGGGACAAGCTGCAAACCCAGCTGGACGCAACCACCGAGCAAAGAGACACACTGCAAAAGCAGTGCTCGGATCAGCAGGCCGGGCAGGTTTAGGGTTTAGGTTTAGGGTTTAGGGTTTTGGGTTTTGGGTTCAGGGTTTGGGGTGCAACTCCTGTCCTAAACCTGAAACCGTACATGAAACCCTGTCCCTTGTTGTTGCCTCTGCTTGACCCTAACAGGTGCAACTTGAAGACCTGGAGCATCGGTGGGCGAAGTGCGTCGAAAGCAACAGGCTGGTCGAGGAGGAGCGCGACAGGCTCCTGAAGGACAACCAGGCCAGGTACGGTTCCATACTCCAAGTAACTAATCGGAAGCATAAATTGGATGCAATCTTCAGAAAACCCGAATCCAACTGATGTCAGGAGAAAGACCAGAAACTGAAGGAGGCAGAGGAGCTCATCTCTGAGCTTCAAATTTGTCAGGCCGGCAAGGCCAATTCAATGCAAAGTAAACCCTAAACCCTTGGCCCCACTCTTAAGGCCCGCAAGCCCCATGCAAAGTCTTCCATGCACAGTCTTCTCATTAGCCCTAAACCCTGAACCCTGAACCCTAAACCCTGGCCAGGAAAATGAAACGAGGCAAGCAGATCTGCTCAAGGATCAAATGGGAAATTGGATCGTGGATGCGGCCAGAGCAGATGTGTACAAGGAGAGAATGGAAAAGGCTCTTTTGGAGGTGGCCAAGTACAAGGCAGGACTGTGGATGTGCACAGCCTAGGGTTCAGGGTTTAGGGTTTAGGGTCTAGAGGTGGCTTAGAGTCTGAGAGCCCTGACAGGAGAAAATCTCCGAGCTGGAGACAGGGGCCTCGCAGAGTGAGGCGGATCTTCGAAGTGCTCAAGAGCCTGCCAGCACTGCAGAGGCGGACATGGAGTA